ACTTCTGGATAGGAAGTGAGTGTCTATGAGTCCCACCCAGCAGGGCACAGTCACCTAGATTTTGTTGTTCAGGGCAAAAGGTGGAAGAGGCTCACCTTCCCTGGCAGGGCTGATGGTCTAGCTCAGGGTCTCCTTCTACCATGGGCTGGAGGTCAGGGTGATGCTGGCTTTGCCGGCTCTCCTCACCTAGTCTTTTGAGGGTAACTAGCCCTTGGAGGAAGGAGGAATTTCAGAAGGAGAGGAGTGGAGGTAATGAAGAGTTCTGGGGCTGCGGCGGGCCCAGCCAGCCAGGCTGTCCCAGGGCCTAGGCTTAGAAGTGACACTCCGCATACAGGCTGGCCAGTGTGGGCTTTGAACCTGAGACTTCATTCCAGCTTCTTCTTCAATGGTCATTTTTAAAATTAGGTGGCATGGTGCTAACATACTGAAGGGATATTTGTGTGAAGCGGATCCTTTTGTCTAAACAGAGTTTTAGCCTCAGCATTTCTTTAGGGGTTTTTGATCTTGGTTGTTCTGAAATGTTTTTCCTTTCACTTGGTGTGCTAGAGTCACAATGCAAGGGCAGGTTTTGTTTTTATAACCCTCTATTTAAAGTTGATCATTTCTATAATGATCAGCTTTACAGCGTGACCCTTTCTCCCTGGTAGCTGGGTACCCCCACTCTGGGCAATACTCGGGCTTAGGGGCTTTCCTCTGTGTTGTTTCTGAAGCAGTGACCCCTGGCCTCGCCTTGCACATAGACGACCCCACTGACTCCCTTCTGACTCTTTCTCTCCAAAGTCCTGTTTTCATCCTTCTACCTGTTCTGCACTCGACCAGGTCTTGGGCTTCACGATGCTTCAGTGGCAAGGGTGGAAACAGCTGTCTGTGACCAAACAAAACGAGTCAGGAGCTCTGCGTGTCCATTCTCCCTCCTCAGCTCCATGCTTCCTCCTCAGTTCCGTGCATCCTCCTCCCCAGTGGTCGAGACTTGGGCCAATACCTGCTGCCCTATGGGTGCTGGGCCCTGTGCTGCTCCTGGAGACTCCAAGTTGAATCACTCACTGTCCCTGCCTTCAAGGAATGGCCTCATGAGGAGGGATGGAGAAGCCAATAGGTGTCAGAACCTGTTCAAGGCATAGTCATAGGGCGACTCTGTCTGAGTAGGCATGGAGCAATGCATCAGGAGGAATTCCTCCAGGCGGTGGTCCTTACGCCAGCCCTTAGAGGGACTGTGGACCTGGCAGGGGAGCAGTCAGGTGCTTGAGGCGTTTGTCCTGCCAGTAGCTTTGTTGAGGGAGGAAACAGTCTGCAGTAAGGCCCTGCTTTGCTAGCTCTGTGTTGTATCTGAACACATGATGTGTATACAAAGCAGCACTCGGGTTAGAGGGTGTGTATGCAGTGAGGAGTGTTCTCCTGCCCTGACTGTTGGCCCCTCAGCCCCTCCTGAGGGCCGTCTCCAGGTACAACTTCCTTGAGCGCAATTCCAGAGAGGTTTTCAGTGCACCCGGAATGTGTACATGTCCCTTATAAATACACACACCCTCTCAAATGATTCTCTTCCCATACTCACCTTAACTGTACCCCACAACTTTAAAATAAAGAATATATATTATTAAAAAAAAAGAAGTCATCCATGCTAGCACAGGTTGAACTGTCCTGTTCTTTTTGAACCACTGTGTGGTATTTTGTTACATGGGGTGAATGAGAACTTATTTAACTGGTCCCCCTTTAAAGACCTTTCGGGTCACTGCAATTTTTTGTCATTACAAATAATGCAGTGAGTAGCCTTCATATATGTCATTGCACACATAATTTCTGAGGACAGATTCTGGAAGTTGAATTGATGGGTCAGAGAATGTGTGCACTTTTGGGGACAGATATTATCAAGTTGCCCTCCAAAGAGCTCTACGTTGATTATCAAATACTAAATTTAAGAATCTTGGCCAGGCGTGTTGGCTCATGTGTGTAATCACAGCACTTTGGGAGGCTGTGGTGGTAGGATTGCTTGAGGCCAGGAGTTCAACACCAGCCTTGACAACATAATGAAACTCACCTCCCCATCTCTACAAAACAAACAAAACAAAAACAGCTGGACATGGTGGCGAGTGCCTATAGTCCCAGCTCCATGGGAGACCGAGGCGGGAGCATTACTTGAGCCCAGGAGTTCAAGGTTACAGTGAGCTGTGATCCTATCACTGCGCTCCAGCCTGGGCGACAGAGGGAGACCCTGTCTCTAAGAATAAAAAATAAAATTAAATTAAAAAATAGCCTGTAATCCCACGCCTTTGGGAGGCTGAGGTGAGTGAATTGCCTGAGCCCGCGGGTTCGAGACCCGCCTGGGCAGCGAGACCTCATCTCTACAATAAATCAAAAAATCAGCCAGGCGTGGTAGCGCATGCCTGTAATTCCAGCTACTTGGAAGGCTGAGGCGGAAGGATCGCCGGAGCCCAGCAGGTGAGGCTGCAGTGGCCGGGAGCGGCCACTGCACTCCAGTCTGGGCGATCGAGTGAGACTCCAACTCAAAAATACATACATACATACATACATACATACATACATACATACATACATACATAAATAAATAAATAAATAAATAAATCGAAAAGAACCTCCAGCACTTGGCCCATAACTCTCGTCCTGCTCTCCCTGTGGTCCTCTCAACTCCCTGCCAGAGTGAGCTTCCTAAAGGAGTTTGGACTCGTAACTTCCCTCTTTCTAGTCCTTGTAAGCGCCACATGATATTCAGCATAAAGTTTAAGCCACTTGGCTTGCACCTGCTTGCAGCCTCTGCCGGGAGTGCTGTTTCCCCTTGGTGCACCGGCCCACTTGTGTTTTGGTGCCTCCTCCTATTCATTCTCTTTTTTTACTAGGCACATTCTTTAGGGTGTAATGTCACCTCCTCCAGGCAGTCTCTTCTGACTCCTTCTGCTCATGCTTGGAACACCTAAGCACCGCCAGATGTGCCTTGTCCATTCCCTGCTTAAGTATGTGTTGTGCACGTGCTGTGATGTGGCACATGCAGATGCCATTTGTGATGAGCCACTGGTGGTTGCCTGGAGGGATGATGACTTTCTGGGAGGTCACCTGTGTGGCTGCGTCTAAAATGCCAGCACTAGAGGGCCAGTTGCCTACTCTGTCACTAGCCAGCCAAGGGCCCTGGTGTGTCCTTTCACCTCTTCAGACTTTGGGTTGGCATCTGTCAAGTGAGCTGGTGGTGTGTGGTATGTTCAGAAGTCCCTACAGCCCAGGTCTTACTAACAGTGGCGACAGCAGCCAGCGTTCACAGGGACCCCCAGGAGCCAACTGTTTGTCTCTCCTGATCCTTGCAGCAGTCCTATGAAGGCAGTGTGGTTACTGTCTCCATTTTACTGATGAGGAAAGTGAGACTGAAAGGTTAGGCTTGGCCACCAGGTTATCATCCTACAGGAAACAGATCTGAATCTATGCATTCTGGCTCGCCTTTCTTAGCCACACAAGTGCATACACATCCTGCACACACACGGTTTTGTATGGTATTTGGGGTCACTCATGGACTCCCCCTCGACCTTTCCCTGAACCTCCCTGCATCTCTAGAGGCTCAGGTTGGAGTCTGGGCAAAGACTGGGGACAGAGACCTACTGTAGCCACCGTTAGTAGGGGGAGGTGGCTGAAAGCCATGGCCAGCTCTGTTCACGTGCCCCTTCCTTTGGGCCGAGGCACCTGTGCTGCCGTTCTTAGTCGCTTCTGAAGGAGAGACACAGGCCTGAGTCACACACACAGGTTAAAGTCCTGTCTGATTCCTGTGCTGGTGAACTCAGGCATCCTTTATTAGGGCTGTGAGTGGCAGGCTCTCTTATCTGTACACGGAAAGCCTCATTAATGGGTGGGAGGTGAGGGATTTAAAAAACGAAGCTTAGTATTTGGAATACTCGTTATGAATACATGAGTAGCTGTCAGTGAAATCGAGTGAGTTCATTCAGTGTCACAGGCCCACATCATAATGTGCCGCCAACCTAGCTGCCCCCTTAGAGGCATGTGAACATATCCTTCAAGTCTTGGCCCCTGACTTTTCTTTCTTTTTTTTTTTTGAGTTGGAGTCTCACCCTGTCATCTAGACTGGAGTGCAGTGGCTGCTCCCAGCCACCGCAGCCTCAACCTGCTGGGCTCCAGTGATCCTTCTGCCTCAGCCTTCCAAGTAGCTGGAACTACAGGCACGCGTTACCATGCCCAGCTAATTTTTGACTTACTGTAGAGATGAGGTCTCGCCACGTTGCCCAGGTGGGTCTCGAACCCGCGGGCTCAGGCAATCCACTCACCTCAGCCTCCCAAAGCGCCGGGATTACAGGCTGAGCCACCGAACCTGGCTTGCCCCTGATTTTTCAAAAGGATACTGTCTCCTACTCTTCTGAGATCTTTGAACTGGATTGGACCACAAGACTAATTAGCAATTGCGGCCCATCCTTCGCCTCTGTTTGATGGGGACGGTTGGCAGTGTGTGGGCATAAGCGTATCCCGAGCCGTATTCATGAGCCCATTTTTGAGACACATGACTGTCACATCCTGTCCTGTCCCATCCAGTCCATGGGGCTGGGCTGGCCTCTGGCGGCTCCACTGCCACATTCCTTCCCAGGGGGTGTGTTGCTCCTTGAGACATGTGTTCTTGTTCCTTTTTTCCTCCTAGTGAGTTGAACTTGTTTTGAGTCCTGGGGGCAGAGGCCCGGCTGGGCTGATCAGGTACGCTTTGTGTTGAGCAGTGTTCCTCTCCATGGGCAGAGTGGACAGCACTCAGGGGCTCTGCTGAGCTTGGTGGAAGCCCAGGTGAGACTGAACTTGACCCTGGCCTGTGAGTGGTGCTAGCCCCTGGGGCCTGCAGGCCGCATGTCCTGGGGAGGAAGCTACTCGGAGCCCATCTCCTGGCAGTGAGGATTCAGTTGAACTTTGATGTGATCGTGGCTTCTTACCAGAGTACCTGCTCTTAACCCAAAGTGGCTGACATTTCCACTGTACTTATGTCCTTGCTTTTTGTTTGTTTGTTGTAGGAGAATCTGCCCCGGCTAACTTCAGGATTCTTACTTCTGGATTTTAAAGTGTTTCTCTTTTAAAAAACTTGGACGAATAAAAGATGTGCCATGGCAGGATAGCACCAAAGAGCACCTCCACGCTGGTAGTGGCCTCCGTGGGACATGGAGTATTTCTTCCGCTGGTGATCCTCAGCTCCCTGCTTGGAGACGGGCTTGCTTCCGGTAGGTCCTGGCCTCCTGTGTTGGGGAGAATCAGTGCAGTTGTTTCTCCAAAAGACGGGAATGGGCCTACCCTCCCGGGATGGGGCCTGCCCTCTGGGGAAGGCTGTCCTTCTAGCAGGTGGCTGCAGGGGAAGCAGTGGGCGGAGTGCTTTGTGCTGTCGGATACAGCAGGGAGCCGGCACTTCAGGAGCCTTCCAACCCTGGTGGGCATGTGGGAGCCTGCTTGGGGTACACTTGTCCCTTCTCAGTAATCAGCGCCAGGCAGGACAGAAATGTTGGGTTCAGTGCACACTGTGTCAGGGAGGTGCAGGCTTTGGAGCCAGACCGCCTGTGTGCAGAGCCTCTGCCTGTCGCTTGCTCTGTGACCCGAGTAGGCCACTTTACTGTGGTAGCCTCAGTTTCCTCAACTGCATAGTGACCAAGATACTACAATAGGCACTTAATGATAAGTAGCTCTTTTTGTTCATTTCTTTCTATGCTTTTTCTCAGAGTGAGCACGTAGTTGAGATATTGTGATTTAGTGACAGTAAGACCTAGTCACCAATACTACAAATGTTGTGATCTTGAACAAGCCCTTGACCACTCTGGGGCTTAGTTCCTCCCCCTGTCAAATTAAGGGACTGACCTGGATGACCTTTAAGGTCATGTTGAGCTCCCTCGGTTTGCATTGTCATGGCTGTCAAGACATTCTGGTTGAAGATGGTGAACTGGAGAACCCTAGTGGGACTGGAAGGCAGCCCGGAACCTTTCCAAGTCTATACCCCTGCCCCAAAGACCCTTCTTGCCTGTCTCCATGTGGTCCCCCAGACCCAGTGTCTGCTTTAGCTAGGACACATCTGGGCATGTTCAGGAGGCCTCCAGGTGGAGGACTCTGTGTCTGCAGCCTTGGTGTCAGCATTGAGCCCACCAGAGTGGTGTTCTTTCCAGACTTCATTAGGGATGTATATGTGGCAGTTCCTCAGTCTGGTGCTTCCCAATGGGGAGTCTCAGAACTAGGTCTAGAAGGGACTTTTTGGGGGGATGTTATGGCTGTAGAGTCCCTGTAGCATGGCAACATCCCTTCCTTTTACCCACCCCTCCACCTGCTCCTCAGCACACACAGATAGCAGTGTAGTCTTCTCTGATCTTCTCCTTCTGAATTGTTGCGGGGAACACTTTGATGATTGTTTGACTGATTTGGTGGTTCCATCTCAACCTTCTCTGCCACCCACACACACAGATTTCCTTTACTGGGGTTTCTCCTTCTACCCCGTCCTGACACTTGGGGCCATGGTGATCGGGAGCCTATTGTGCGGGCATCACAGTTTCCAGGAAGACAAGACCAGGCTGCACCAACGTGTAACAGGAGGGGGCTGGGTCTCCATTTGTGGGGTCACCCCAGCCCTGAGGAGGCCATTAGGAGTGTCGTCACGGGAACCCAGAGTGGGAGGCTGTCTCCACCACATGGCCCTAGAGCAGAAGGTGACAAGTGATGACCAAGACCTGTCTGCTGTCTGCTTTTGTGTGGCCCTCGGGTTAATCATTCATATTTGCAAGTGGTTGGAAAAAATCAGAAGAATGGTATTTCCTGGCATGTAAAAATGCAAAAGTGAAACACAAACGTTGGTGTGCATAGACAAAGCTTTGTGGGCACTCTTTCTCATTATGTTGTCTGTGGCTACTTTTGTGGCAGAGTTGAATAGCTGTGACAAAGACTGTGTGACCTGCAAAACCTAAAACATTTAGGCTTTAAAACATTTAGCTCTTTACAGAAGAGACTCTCCCCAGCCCGGAACAAATAGTACTCAATAAGTATGTGTGAATGAATGAACAGGAGGGAAGGAAGGAAGGAAGGATTGGTCAGAGCCAGGTCAGGCTTCAGAAACTGTGCACTTGTTGCCTGGAGTCCGAGAGCCAGCGGTAGGCTGGGTCCTGGCACCTTGCTGTGACCTGCTCCTCTAGGGTTCTTAGGGAAGCTGTCCCGCCCATCACACAATAGTAGCAGAATGGCTGCCCGGTCATGTGGTAGTGGTGGTGGTGGTGGTGGTGGTGGAGGAACATCTGCCCTTGTGGCCAAATCTTCAGCCTCTTGAAATCTTCATGGAGCTGTCCTGCTCACCCTCACCCCCTTTTGTTTACTCTACCCATCCCCACTCCTAGCCCATTTTCCGGCTACCCACAACTTCTTAACTCTCCACTCAAGGTCAGAAATCAGTTATCAGCTTCCAGACTGACTGAATAAAGGGTTTATTATTCGCTAATGTGGAAAATGTGTCTATTTGTAGTGTGAGCTCAGAACAGGATGGCAGAGCTGGCTCTGTTGCTTTTCTTTCCCCTCCCCCATCTGCAAAGACTCCTCCCTCCCAGCCCCCCAGCCCCACATCTCGTCTGTTCCCCATGAAATGCGTGTACTGGCAGGACAGGGTGCAGGCAGGGGAAAGGGCTTCATCGTCGCTGGGCCAGTGTGCCAGGTTGCTGCCAGTGCTACCCTCCCTCTGGAGGGGCTTCTGGCCTGAAGCCCCTGGCCTGAAGCCACAAGCACACCTGTGTGACTGTGCCTGCCAGGAAGCCAGGCTTGCTGGACACTCCAAGGCCAAGGGAAGGTAATTCTGTTGGGAAAGGCTCTTTGCCTCTTTCCCATTCCCATAGCTGCCCTGAACACCCTTTCCAGGGACATTGTAAAATGGATGCTTGTGCAGTTCACAACCTTGACTATAAGATGGGTGCTTGTCCATTCTACAGCCTCAACTGTAAACCGGTGCTTGTCCAGGCTTCAGCTTCAATTGTAAGATGGGCGCTTGTGCAGGCAACAAGCTTGTTCCCCAGTGGCTCCAGTGGGCCTCTGAGAATCCTCTGGACATGGGTGAATGGCACCCTTGGGGGGCAGTTTCTTTGCATAGTCTCAGGTCATAAACACCACAGCTACTCCCTAGTCCTGATCATGAGCTCAGGTTTAATAGAAGAGAATCACGTTTTAAGAGACCCTTGAGATTCTGGGGTAGTTACCTCACGCTTGGGGTTCATCTTCCACACTGGCTTCTCTTCTCTGCAGCTTGAGATTTGGAGCTACCCAGAAGGTGTGAGGGAGGCATGGCGTCCAGCCCTCCTCGAGCATTCCCTTAAATGGGGAGAGTTATTGGAAAGTTCCCTTTTAGGAGCAGCAAGAGGAGGCCTGTCTTACTCTTCACACCCAGTCACACCATGTGGTGGGAAGACTGGAGTAAAAATAAAACCTGTACCATGCTGCCCAGCGCCCTTCTCGGGCTGGAGAGGAATTTGGATCCTCTCCCTTTACCTGGGACCTCAGAAGTGTGCTGTATGACCTCAGCTGAGTCATGTGACCTCTGTATCTTCTGTAAAACAAAAACAGTGATCCTAAGAATGGCAGGCTGGTGGTGTGTAGGTTAATAAAAATGATGGGCGGGCACTTGGCACATAACATGTGTGATACACTTCCAAATAACAACAGCAGCAAAGCTGGTGCATGACCTGCTGCGGAGTCACCACTCAGGAGACTAAGTAGATGACAGTCTTTGCTGTCATTCAAGCACAGGATTGACAGGCAGAGTCACTGTTGGGTTGGGGATAAGAGGTTTCGGAGCAGGTGTCCAGGCTGGCCCACGCGGGGGAGTGCTTCTTGAGGAATCCTGTGCTGCCAGAAAGCACACGTGTGCACGTGTGGCATCTCGACCTCATGCATGCATGTATGGCATCTCAACCCGCCTGGCTTGCTGACTCGTAAAATACTTTCGCTTGTACACTCTCTCTTTCCTGGCCATGTTTGTTAAACAAACTTGGTGTTTTCCTCGCTTCTGATTTTTTTTGTCTTAAAATGCTACTGTGACATGCTAGCTATGTTGAGCACCACAGTCACCTAGCGTGATTTTAGCCTAACAGGACAGCAGCTGTCTGTAATTCCATGTGACAGAATGAGCATACCAGGTAGTTGGATTTCATTGAGATGAAAAATGTTGAGAACAAGGTTCTCTGGGAGATGATGTAGCTTTGGCCCGTAGCATTGCTGTGGCAGAGAGGTATGGTGTGTGGCCCAGGCTCACCTCATCATCTCTGAAGAGACCTGGAGTCGGAGATTATGTCCCCTGAGCTGAGGGACAAGTTGGAGATTGGCCCCATGTTGTCCCACAAAGCTCTCAGAATGCTTGTGGGCCAGGCAGTTGTGTAACCATTTTACAGAAGGGAAACTGAGGCAGGGCGAAGTTAGATAACCTGTCTGAAAACAGACTGACTGGGCTCTGGGTCCCGTGTGTCTGACTCTTGGCCATGGTCTTCCTGGGGACTCTCGTGTTTCCTGGTTGAAGCTCTCGAACGGGCCTTTCCAGGGTCGTGCTGACAGTGGAAGAAAGGTCCTGCCTGTGTCCTCCCTTTGCAGCCATGTCTCCCTCTGTGCTTGCTTCTGTTCTTGTCTACAGTGTTAGCTTCCAGTGTAGGCACAGGGTTCGCCAAGGTGGTTCTATTCTTGGATGAGAACAATAGGAACCCTGGCAAATTGTTTGCTAAATCAGGATGCAGCTCTCAAAACACCCTCGGAACACCTTCCTGTCAGCTGCAGGCCCTACTGACACACGTGGGGCAGTTACTACATGCTGTAATTACCTGGGACTATAAAAAGACTTGGGGATTGTAGTGGGAGTCTGGGTGGGTCATTACAGGGCTGACTGAACCCTGATGTCAGGAGGAGACATTGAAAAATTACCCTCTGCAAGCTGAGGGTCTTGCCATGTTTAGAATACTGACAGCACAGGGTGGTACCCTTGCACAGCAACTTTCTAACAAAAGAAACCTGGAGCTTCTGAATACGTAACTGAGTCTTGACTGGGTTAAAGTCCTCATTAAACACAAATGCCACCTGTGGAGCAAGGGTGGCCCGACCTGCCTCACTTGCCAGCTTGGGGCTATTCTTCTTACCTGCCCGACTCTGTGTGAGGGGGTCACAGGGTGCTAATAACGCTAGGGTTGACACCTGGAGTCTCCAGTGGTTCTGGTAGGTTTCCAGAAAGTCC